AAATGCATCAGTTCCTTCAAGTCCACTATGCAGCAACAATGGAGCACTCTCCTGTGGTCTCTGTGAGTGCAATAGTGGCTGGAGTGGGCCCTCATGTAACTGCTCTACATCAGCAGTGTGTCCAATAGGTCCTAATAATCAAGAGTGCAGTGGTGAGAGAAGGGGTCAGTGTGTATGTGGTCAGTGTGTATGTAAGCAACCAACCAATAGAGTACCAGGAGTAGTTACACCACGTATTGAAGGAGATGCTTGTGAATGCAGTAACTATGAATGTGATGATGACTCTGGTTTTGTATGCAGTGGGCATGGTACGTGTACTTGCTCTAATGGTACATATGCTTGTCAGTGCGATATATCACCTGTTTCAGGTTTCTATTACAGTGGGGACTATTGTCAATGCTCATATGATGATTGTATTGATATAGATCTAGATTCAAGTACATCAGTCTTGTGTAATGGCAGAGGAGACTGTGATCCATGTCAAGGTAGCTGTGAATGTGATGCTGATTTTATTGGTGAATATTGTAGCCTATACACTGGCAACCAGCTATCATGTACTGCTAATGAAGAATGCGTCAAATGCTTTGCAAAAGCACCTAAAAATGGTAACACTTCTTGCTCGGGTTTACCATCTGATTTATGTCAAGGATATTTCACACTATCAGCCTCTCAATACACTATACCTGATACTATTGATGGGTCAGCTAGTGATTGTTCCATTAGTACAGTAGAATGCAAGTATACATACTATGTAGCTCTCTCTGCTGTCAATTCCAGTATGATAATATATCAAGTGGAGCCTGAAGAATGCCTTCCAATACCTATATGGGCCATTGCTGTCATAATAGTCATAAGTATTTTACTTGTTGGTGCATTGATTCTGATTGTGATTAAATTGATCTTTGTGTACAAAGATCATCGTGAGTACAAGAACTTCCTCTCTGAGATTAATCGATCCAAAGGCTCAGCACAAGAGAACCCTACCTACTTAAAACCCATAATTGAAACTGTAAACCCAGCTTATGGTGTAGCTAAATCTACTTAGATATTAACATTATTGTTATTACACTGCTTTTAGATTGTTGTGACATGTTACATACAAGCATATTTTTATGATTAATGAAAATATTTCATAGCTGAATTAGTCTATGTTCGTGTATAGCTGTCAATCACACTTGGCAATTCATTATTCAGCATAAGACTCTGGTAAAGTACAGACAACCCCTTCAACATATTCAATCTCAATATCTGAGAATGCATACATTGTAAATAACAATTTATTGTCAGTGTCTACATGTTCATTTTTAGCTTAAATTAAAAGAGTGTCTGATCTTGAATGACTGTTTGTTTTTTTGCATGACTGATCTTGCTGTTTTGTCTTTGTGCCTAGTGTATAGCATATTATGCTTGGTGTGTCATGTCAATCCTATCAGATATCATAGTTTAAAGTGTGGCAGAAAGGTTTCTTCCATTTTCAAATGCCATTTCCAGCAAAATATGTGCAAAGAGCATTTATTTCCTTGACACCATCACATGTATAAGATGAGTGCTGTTAGATAGTTATAATATATTGTCAAAGATGATTATAATAGGATATGTATGTATTGGCTCTAGATGAAGGAGGATTGTGATGAGAATAAATGTATCACCTAATTATTTATGAGTTAGTGTTATTTTAAGAAGGTCCATCTGCTTCAATAAGCTTACATAGACTGTGTTTTTGGTATCTACCTACATGCATTAAGAGTTACAAATACAATGGGGACAACTTACTGTTCCTAATGCATGAGTTAGTATGAAAAAATATCACACCATATAAAGAGTAGTACTATAGATCAGATAGCGATGTGAATACTCTACCAACACTAGAGCAAGACAAACTGTTATTGCAGAATAAACCATTTTTGCCAACATGTTGCTGTTCACTTCCAACAATATTTTAAAGCATAAGTTACATTTTATTGTAAGAATATCTTTCTCAACTATGCTTTTAAATATATCAAGGCTCCAAAAGTTATAGCAGTCATTTTAACTGGGTTGAATGACTTGTTTAACTTTCATTGCGCTATCAAAACATAATGTGTGTATATGCATAGTGTGATAAGAAGTAAAGCTTACATTGGCATTATTTTAAACAAGATGACAGAGTCAGCTCTTCTCCTTGGATCATGTCTTCTTCTCTTGGTAGTACAGTCTCTTTCATTGTGTGTCTTTGAGGATGGGACAAACTCCACTTGCTCTAGTTCATCTTTACTGCTTGTATCTAGGAGCCAAATAAAGAATAACAATGGATACTCACTGATAGTTGACAAACTACCAAATATTACTACAAATTGCACAAGTACTAACAGCAAAAAAGAATTTTATGCAGCTATAGGAGGGGCAGGACTGAAAAAAGAGTTCCTTGATAAAGACAATACAACAGTAAAGGTATGATATCTGCTAGTGTCAAACTCATAATTAGAACTGACAACTATAGCAGAAATAATAATTGTCTAGTGTGATTCTAATTAGCAATGTTTTTTTAGATAACTATCCCTGGGGATGTTGGCAGTGGTAAACACATCATTTCCATATCATATTTGATTAATGATCCAAACTGCTGCAAGGTAGAAGCTGTGCTGAATCATGAAATAACAGTGAAAGTCATTGGTTAGCTATGCATGTTCACAAATAGATCTACATACATTAATAGCCAAAATTAAATATAATATTAAATACATATATCATTTCAGATGATCCTTATGCTCTTTATCAGAACACTGATCCTCACACTATACAGTGTGTGTTCCATTCAGACTTCTCTGACATGTGGACAGAGTTTATGCTAAATGATGCTGTGCTTGGATACTGTGGGCACTTTACAAGTTCAGTGGAGCACAAAAATGGCATATCTATTTATTATGATACAACTGAGGGAGTCTGCACTTTAAAAATTGATAAGTTAACAGATGATAATAAAGGGGATTACTCATGCTCAGTGATGGTTCCATACCCTGATGATAATGGATTCTTAAAATTAAATTCAACATCTATAAACCTTACACCCATACCCTTTAATCATCCAAAGAAAAATAATGATAAAAATAATTATACTTGGAACTACTATTCCTATCATTTTTGTCTTAATAGTCTTAGTAGTTATCATAGTAGTCACTGCGATTTGCTGTTGGAAGAAACCATAGAGAAATGATGAAAATAATCCTATGTTAGGATGATTGAACATTAGAAGACGAAAAAGAACAAAATGAATAAAACTAATGCTCAAATATAGTATCTATTAAAGTTTTTTTTATTTCTAATTAATGTATAATCAAAATTTAGTAAAAAAATACAATATTATGCCAAAATTACCAAAATATACACTGTAATACTGATAATTGCACATGTGTTGTGACACATATTAAGCCTGCTGTTAATAATAATGGCTGTTCTAAACTCACATAACCAGCTTCCTCAAACCAATTTTAAGGCATAATAGATCTAAAAATTTATAATTAGTTGCTAACCTCAACAGGAAGTGAACTATTAAACATACTCATTCCAGTAGTTAGCAATCTGTAGTAAAAAGATGTACTCCAGATTCCATTGGGCTTTTTTTATTCTTTCTCTCTTACTTCAAATAATAAATGGTAAATTAAAATATTACAGATAAACCACTTACTGTTATCATCATAGGAGATCCAGACTCAAAATATGTCAAAATATAAAAATTGGTTGCAGCAACCTTTCAACCTTGCTGTAGCACTAGCTAATTTTTGTATTAAGCACATCATTGCAGTTTTCGGGGCTTTTGATGCAAAACCTTGGAGTTTTCAGCTAAAAACTTTCAGCCCCACCCCCTCATTAAGAATGCATATATGATGTTTAGCTGATTATCACCTAAAATAAATACAACCACATATTCATTAACAACTGAATCTAGCTCACTAGTATCTGCAACTTCAGCATCAGTATCTACACTAACAAATTTTATTGTTGTAAGAGATCCACACGCGCCCACGGGCTTACGCCAACTACAAGAATCTTTAAGGTCATAAAACCAGCTGTCCCTCACCAAAAATGGTTGGGCACTTTTATATCATTTTAAAATCATGTGACACAAACAAGTTAGAACCAGTTAGTGTCATATGACACACACATGACAAACATGACATAGAGAGTTCCTAGTTAGATGACAACCTGGGCAAGCCCAAACTGTCATCCCTCACATAAACCATAGTTGCACAAATTAGTCTAAGGTCAAACTACAATACACAATATATACACCACTAATAATTAATAATGCACATACAACTAATAATTCAAATAATAATGATACACATATAGATCTACAACCAATTATAGAATAATACCACATATGTACACAACCAATAATTAGTAACACATACCTAATAGAATAATAAAGAATAATTAACCTTTGATAGTTTCAATCCATCATATCTGCTTTACCAGAATCCACATTACCACCATCAACTAAATTTAGATCTAGTAAAAAAATAGTGATTAATAAAGATTTTTTTAGAATCACATTAAATTTTGTAGCTACAAGTGAACTATCTCCAGCAGGTCTTGTTGGTATCATAGTATGCATTGGAGGAACAATCTTTCTAACATTATTAGTACTGCTAATAGTTGGGGCTGTCGTTTTAATTGGTAAAAGGTGTGGATATGGTAAGTTTCAGTTTAAGTCTTAGTGAAGACTCTGCAAACTTACAAGAGGTTCTTTAAGAGGCTTATTCTAATGTCGTATCAACAGCTCAACTAACCTTTGTCCTTCCAAATTATATTTCTGATAAGATTGAAGCTAACTGCCCTCCAAACTCAACCTACTTTCCAGAAAAACACAAGTGTTCCAGCATTGCAGAGGCGTATTTAGGGGGGGGGCTGAGGGGGCTTGAGCACCCCCCTCAGGGCTGGGCTCAGGAAAAATTACTTAAGTCCTGGACTCTTGCATCACTACCAAGCCTCTTAACAAAGTTATCTAGCCCCCTGATCATGATTTCAGCAGTTTCCAGTGCTTTAAGGAGCAATCAGAAGTACCAGTAACATAGCAGCAAGTGATCTTGGCCCCACCCGTAATTATCGAAAATGCAGGAAAAGGCCG